AACAGTTACATCAAGTCCGGGCAGCGTTAGTAGGGGAGAGCTTGCAAAATATCTGCTACTTTTGCAAGCTGTTTTTAGATATACCCACAATGACAAAATGCATTATTAAATGCATGCATGTTTTCATTCTGGTTATATCTACTATAGATATAGAGTGATTTTATTTTTTTTGTATTTGTGCAGTGGAGTGTCCCTTTAAAGAGTGTGACAAACTCCCCTTTTCCTGTGAGTTTGCCACGAGAGTTTGGAGGGGCTTGGTTGCCAGCCTCTTGCCCCAGGACTATGGCCCATGTATTAGACCTGGCTTCAGCACTGTGGACAGGCTTTGTTCATGCCTTGGCCCCACTGCGGTTCGGTACATGGGGCTACCAAATGGATTCTACTTATGGTGTTTGTTTACCGAACAAACAACCAAACAGTCGGGCCACACACAAGTGGAGTGTGTAGCCCATTTACCCCCCATGCTGGGAGTTAACAAGCGCTTAATTGACGAACGTCTGGGTGGTCGCCGTTCGTATAGTCGAACACGTGGCGGTGGCCATCTTGTTTAATTGAATGCGGTCCGCTGTGTTTTGCTGTCGAGTTCATGCAACTAAAATTGGACACTCGACACCACAAACATCGCTGGGACTTCCACCTCCATCTATGGTCGGCTAAATATGCACGATTAGAACGCTTTTCGGTAGATATAATCTACCGAACACACTTCAACCCTGCATTTGTGCACGAACGGTCTCGTTCGACTATTTGAAATGCACTTTTATAATTGGAAATAGACCGGCCGCACAGCCTAATTCTCTGGAACTATTTTGGGCATGATGCCATGCTTGCGACCGGTCAAAAAGAGACTTCCATGAAACTTTTGAACCCCTGCTCTGATCTTGGTGATTTTTGGATATGTTGTTCACCCAGATCAGGGCTATCTGGGGATGTAACAGTGTAACATGTTTTGGGGTACTTTCTGAAGTTTGTGAAAATGTGGGTTTTCTGCATGGAGATAATTGAGTTACTTACAGGACTTTACTCAATTATCTCCCAACCAGAGGGGAGGGATTGTGTGCTGTACATGGACGTGTCACAGACTGTATGTTTGTTATGATTGGTTTGTGTCCTCTGGCCTGAAGAATTGTATAAAAGCCAACCTGAACCATTAAAGCTCAGATCTTGCACCTTCATGAACTTTCAGCTCATGTTTGGGAGGATTGGAGAACTACACTCTGGGGGATTGTTATAATCACTATACTCCCCTGAGTATAATCACTAAGCTCTTGTAAGAGCTTGTTTCTGCTTCGCTCTTGGGACTAAGAGAGGCCTACCCACTGGAAGCTGGATCCTGGTCTTGGGTCCAGGGCGGGTGAAGGACGGCGAGACGCCAACCAAGCTGCGGCGGTTTGTGGGGTTTGCGGTGGTTATGGTGCTTCAGAGCAGTGCTTATGGTACTCGTCAGTACTATGAAGCAGCGATTGGCGGAGGAACTCGGTCGGAGTGCCAGGCGGTCCGTCACAAAGAGAATCTGTAGTTGAAACGTAAACTTTACTCTGAACTTTTCCTGTATAATTACCGAAAATGTATATTGTTTCACTGGCCTTCAATGGAACTTGTTACAGCTGTAGCATATTCCTAATGGTTCCATCACTAACATAAATTCACATTAGCCTCTTCACCGGACTGTCTCTGTGTGGGAAGCCACGCGTTGGAACTCATTGAAGCAGGTTCCGAGGACAGTCTGAGAACCATCTTCGTCAATAAGCAAAACTGTTGTTTCTTGGGTACAGAAAATCCACGGATAATTCATCAGCACCAATTGCACTCTACCAAATGCACTGTCTAGTGTGGGGTGACCTTGCAGGAAGTTATCGGATAGAACTTTGAGCGCTAGAGCCTCAAACGTTATCTAAAGTTATGAACAATGCAATCAAAAGAGCCAGACTTTGCAAAGTGGAAAATGGAGCTCATTTCCGCAATCAGCAAATGAGAGCGCTTACTGGATTCAACAATTCAAAAAAGTATATTCAATTTTGGCAAAAATGATAAACATTTCGACCTTACGGTCTTTAGACAAAGGTCAAAACATTGATAATTTTTTGCCAATATTTTATACACTTACTTGAATTGTCGAATCCAGCGAGTGCTTTCATTTTTTTGATTGGGATATATTTTCTGTGCTGTGCAGCACCTTGGTATATGCAGATATATTTTTTGTTTATTCAGGAAGAGTGCCAGACACACTGAGTATTGTTGCTATATATCAACTACTATTCTTCTCTACTGTTAATGGTCTGGCGATCTGCATGATCCTCCCTCCCCTCCCTTTATGCAATCTATAACTAATACACCCAGAAGGGTGGGCTCTCTTTTATTTTCAGGCCTACCACATCGTTGGTTCTGGCACACCACATCCGACTTTTACTATATATATGTTACGTTAATTTTACTTTGCTTTCAAATACTAGTAATGACCTTTGTGCACAAATATATATACATATTTTATCAAGGGGCCTATTCTACGAACATGGGCCTGAAGCTGCAGCCCCATTAGCCCTATGTTTTCCCCTTTATATTTATAGCCTCGACATAGCGTCTTAAAGATTCCGTCTAGCATCCCATCAGTGCTTCAAATCTCACACCAGATTCTCTAAACAACCATGAACTGTTTCTTTCCATAGCAGAGCCATCATCAGAAGGGTACAGCAGATGTAGCTGTATGGGGCCCAGGCCGCACTGGGTTTGGGCCACACATTACCAATATGTACATATATTTAGTGATTATTGATATATATATATATATGTGCCACGCAGGCGCCCAGATACCTGTATAGTGAAGAGGGGACCCAGCAAGCACAATCTTCAGTTTCCTGCAGCTCCTCTCTCGGCAATGCTATGAGTGGCAAGTAGATCAGGCTCACAAGAGTTGGAGAGAAGCTCTGAACCAGTGAGTGTAATATACCTCCTCCCTGGCCACAGGTAACAGGCAGAGAGGGGAGATACATTATATTTGATTAAAATAACAAAAAAATAGTTCTTATACCCCACAGAATACAGCCCCCATATATAAAAACACACACTTCATCCACTACACACACACACTTCATCCACTATACACACACACACTTATACAAACACTCTTCATTCACTATACACACATATATTCTACATCCACTGTAAGTAATGTTTCATTCCAGTTTAGTCTCAATTGAATTCACCCTCATCCTCACTGTCTCACCTTTGTCTCAGTCTCCATCTTCGTACCAATAACCAGTGTCTCCACTTCACTATTTCCAGTTTCTAAATCAGCCCGGAATTATGAGTTGTTGTGTTGTAGTGTATCCATTCGGTTCCTGTATTGTCTCCATATTTACCCTGTATTGATATATGCTGTGGCAGAAATATTTTTTTTTACCATTGTTCGCCTGCAGTTATGGCCCTCATTTGAGTAAGTACTGTGCTGTATTGCAGCTTGTTCTGCAACCATTACCTTCATGGTATCTTCATTTTTGTTTTGTTTATGGTTTTTTTTATTTTTTTTTACTGTTTTATTACAACGTTCAGCCCTATATACATCCTTTAGTAAAAGGTGAACAATTTTAGTTTTTTATACTTTTTGATTGCTTGAGGTGTCTGTAGTTTACATTTTGTAGTAAATATCCCAAATAGTTTACTTGTGAATAGCATCCAGTAGAAAACTCCTTGTCTGGGTGTTGAGTGAGTTAGCCTAAATCACTCAGATTCATGGTTTTAAACCACTTCAGCGCAGCTTCGGCGGTGTGTTTCTGGTCATTAGCTCACTGGAAGATTAACCTTCACTCCAGTCTCAGATACTGAAAACTGAGGTGTTTTTGGCTTCATCCATCTTGCCCTCCATCCTGACCAATTTCAGTATATGTAAGGCCAAAGTAGCTGAAGTAGAAGCAGAGCTAACTTGGTCAACTTTTCCAATTTGGCTATCTTGCCCTTAGATTTGAAATTCACTTTGAATTCCCAACAATTCTCACTTCAGTAACTAACCCTGAGGGACTTTCTAGGAAATTCTATTTTTTTTTCAAACATAACCAACCTAGCAACTGTAGAATTACAGATTTTTTTCAATTCGATGTTTCAACCTAAAAATCTAAATTTCCTGGTTATTTCCATGTGTAATGAATAACCTTGTTAGTTTTACTTCTATAAAATAGGCAATCAATATACCATCCCTTCATGCGCAATCCACTTCTTCATAGTAACGGTTTATGTTAAACATGACAGACAACCATATAATTTCTACTATTACTAGCCATTTGCTAGTCACGTTTACTTCTTTATTGCCTCCTTTTGTTTCATTGTCTCCTTTCTCTCTGTGTGATCCTTTATTTTAAGCATTTATAGGCTTTCAGTTAGGCTGATTGAGAATTATGGAAAATGAGGTTACAAACATCTACAGTGCCACCATTATCTATGTTGGGGGATTTTTCTGGATTAGAATACTGGTAAACATGGTTTGCAAACAACTTCAGTGTAATGGTTCATTAGAATTACATTTGTACCAGTGAATGCATTTTCCTGGATGTTCATATACTTTTCTCCGTCATCCTTTGGAGAGGTCCACAGTAAATACAAACACATCCTACTTCCCTGATGTCATTGACCACCACCTCATTCATACTATTAGTATAGCTTCTTTTTGTTGTTGTTGCTTTCAATGTGTTCTTAATGTCTTAATATCTTGCCAATAATATTGTGTACTTCATATATTTGGTGCGTGCTTTAATTAATTCACTAACTCTTTGAACTACTTATCTTGTTAACCAGCAGGTTCATTCTGAATGGCCATTACACAGTTATCTGGTTCTCAAACACCTAAGCGCACACTTAGGAATTAATGTAAGCTTTGATGCACAAGAAGGCAGTAATTAATTTCACAGGT